GTCCACGGTGCGGGGCCCCGAGCCGCGGTCGACTACGTGGGAGTCCAGCGACATAGCCATTACGCTAACTGCTGGTTCCCAGCACGGGAGTTTTGACCTGCTCCGTTTTCCACCTGGGCCAGTTCACCCCTTCTTAGGCAACCTGATGGTCCCCCCCTTCCGGGAGGTCACCATATTGATGCGGAACTTAAGTACGGACAAGGGCATTGCGCACTACAGCCCAGAACTCCTGGACTCCAGCGATCCTCCTGCTCAGCCCCCCGGGTAGCTGGGATTAGGGGCACGCGCCACTGCGCCCGGCAAGACTTCTCACTTCCGGGAGGTCACCATATTGATGCCGATCTTAAGTGCGGACAAGGGCATAGCGCACTACAGCCCAGAACTCCTGGACTCCAGCAATCCTCCTGCCTCAGTCCCCCGGGTAGCTGGGATTACTGGCACGCGCCACTGCGCCCGGCAAGACTTCTCTGTAAATACCATGCAACTGTGTGCAGTGTGCAACGCCTTTGGAAAAGTCCCATATACACAGGATCTCAAGTCATCTTAGGAAAATTCTTTCAGGTTGCAAGAAAATCTCCTCCTCCCTAAATGTATTTTCTTAAAGTAACAGTAACCTAATAGTCTACTGGTGGCCTAGTAACTTTCAAAACTATCTTCTAGGGGTGGGCAGGTAGCATGGTGGTTGAGGGCACTGGATTCCCAGGTGGATAGCCATGGTTCAAGTGTCAGCCTTGACGGCTTGCTTTCCTACTTTCCCTTTCTCTCGCTGGTTAAATTTTTTAGAATTAATAAAATAATAATAGCAAATGGAACTAAATGAATCAACAAATACTTCTTAAAAAAACAACAAAAACTATCTTCTGGGGCCAGCAGGTGGAGTGGTGGTTGGTTAAAGGCGCTGGATTCCCACATGGCCAACTGTGGTTTGAGTCCTGGATCTGGCAGCTTGCTTTCTCACTTTCTGTCTCTCTCTCTCACTCTGTCCCTCTCTGGTCAAATTGAAATAAACAAATGAATAAATAAATAAAGTCAAATAAAATAATTCTTAAAAAAAATAACAACTATCTCCTAAGCACAAATCCAGTGGGCATCAGAGGCTCTACTTCCACATAGCCATTTCCTTGATGTCCACATTATATATTTTGTTGACTCTGATGTTTCTTACAGGGCTTCCACAGTATCACCCACAGGATAGCTGTAGGTCAGGGGCAGACCCCATAGTACAGTGATTAAATGTAGTGCATAGGGGAGCCAGCAGGTGGTGTGGTGGTTAAGGGTGCTGGACTTCCACGTGGCCAACCGCGGATCAAGTCCTGGACCTGTTGTCTTGCCTTCGCTTTCTTGCACTCTCACCCTGTCTCTCTCTGGTCAAATTAAAAAAAAAAAAAAAAGTAAATTTAAAAAAATGTAGTGCATAGGAAGCTGGATCCCACATGGCCAAAGTGGTTTAAATCCCAGCCTTGGTTCCTTATACAATGCTCCAGGCACATGTGCCTGCGTGCCCACAGTCCTCATGGGATGGAGAAATGCAGAAGGGGATGTGGCGTAACCATGGCACACTCGGAACGTCTGCCCTCTCTCATCCATCTGTTTCTGAGGGCGCTGTGCCCTCTGGCCAACAAACAAACAAACAAACAAAATCAGAACCGTGATTTCATGGAATGACAGTTTACTAAAAGACATACTAGAGTCAATAAATTTCAAAATTGCTTATAACCCATTTCCAAAGCCATCTCTACTAGATTGAAGCCACACAAATGGCTACGGAGGTCCACAAAACCCAGACTTCAGGAGAGGAGGGTCTGTGGAGCCAGATGTCATCACTTCCTTCATTGTCTTTCTTGTCTTTCTCTACATTTTTTTTTTTTTTTGGAGAGATTTTCACTATAGGGCACGTGCGCTCGCCAGACAGACAGAGAGAGACATAGAGACAGAAAGCGAGAAATCACCCCCCAGGGGGGATGAAAAAAAAACTACATTTTTTTTAAATATTACTTTTCCTTCTTTGTTTTTATGAGAGAGCAAGAGGAAGGGAGAGAAAGATAGGTTTCTGTTTTTGACATCTTGCCGTGTTGTGATGCCTCTGCCCCAGCCTCCCAGTTATCCAGGGCTATGGGTGTGCCACACCGTACCTGGCCTGCCTGAGCCTTGAACCACACCTGAACCTCCCAGAATGACTCAGCCACCACTCAGCAGTGCCCTCCAGCTTATGCCACTGCAGCTGGACCTGTCTTTCCTCTCTCTCACTAGGAGGTTACCACCACCTCTCTAATCTCCCTGTCCCATCCTAGGGTCATAAGTGAGGACCCAGGACAGCACAGTCGGGAAATGACTACACTGTTTATAGGTGTAATATTTTCTAACATCATTAAAATTCCTCCAACATAGAAGTAACTTGTCCAGATATGGAATTATTTCAGAGAGGTATTGCTTTTATACTTCTCCATAGATGACTCCCAAATTTGAATTTAACCCTGACATCTCCAAGCTTCAACAATGTTAAAGGATGAAGTTGCACCACCACTTCAGTGTCCCCCTGCATTGCTGACTCAACCATCTCTTATTAACAAGAAAACTGGGAGTAGACTAATACACCTCATAGTTACAAAATGACTGCCATGATGCCAGCTGACACATACATATACACAACATCCTGCAGCAGTGGAAGACTGTTTCTTCCCATGTGTCTTTTTTTCCCCTTTAATCAGCAAAAGAAACCTCTTCCAGGAGCCCTCAAGCAGATTTTCCACGGTCCTATGACCATATCCAAACTAGTCACCAGTGAGAAGGAATGACTGGATGGAGTGGCTTAAATTAATTATAATTCACCCCCTGTGACTGGGAATTGGACTCCCCTCCACCAAGTACATAGCCCTGGGCAAAGAGAGAGTTGGAAGGACACATCATGCTGTTTGATACAGATGGCAATATGATAAATGTATCAAGATTAGTTAGGTTAGGCTGTGGTAACACATGATCCCAATGTGGCTTACAAAAGAGTCGTTTTCCTTTATCCGTGATGATAGAACATGACTGAGAGAGAAAGAGAAAGTACCCTCCAGGGAGTCCACACACACCTGGATCCCCTTCCTCCGATCTTTCAGTCCATCAGACCCTGGGCGCTCACATCCTGGGCCCGGAATATTTTCAGGCTGACCCGGCCAGGCCTCTGAATCACTATCACCGCGTGGGATCTGGCGTCTTCGGAGCAGTGCATTACCACTGCACCTCAGCCCCGGCCTAGAGGAACAGAGGTTTTGTTTGTTTGTTTTTTTAAAAGAGGTTTTTGCCATAGGGGGTGTGTGCTCGCCAGACAGACAGAGAGAGACAGAGAGACAGAAAGTGAGAAATCACCCCCCAGGGGGGATGGCCACGCCGCAATCCTTTCTCCTCCATTCTCCTCTCGGGATCTTGGGCACGCACGCACACGCAACCGGCGTGAGTTTTAAGCCACCGGGTCCGGGACGTGAACCACGGTCGACTATGTGGGAGTCCAGCGACATAGCCATTACACTAACTGCTGGTCCCATGAGTTTTATTTCTTGAAATATCATACATGTCTCTGTCAGGACGCTTGGCTATACACTAGCCTGTCTCTGTGCCGGGATCCAGGCTGATGAAGCAACCTTCACCTAGAACAATGTTGGTCTCGTGGAAGAGGAAGAGCCATCACGGCGAACCACCCACTG